GCAAAGTGATCCTTCAGCAAATCGGCTCTTGGTGAATTAGCTATTCAGTAACTGATCTTTTGGCAAATGGCCCCAGAACATTGATTTGCTTCCTTTTCTTCTCTCAAATCAATTTCCTGGTCTCTCACCCAGCCCCCTCAGGACATGTCTTACTCATTTTGTATCCCCAGAACTCAGCATGATGTGTTTCATCTTATGAGGATTTTAAAATATTGACAAATAAACAAATGAATTAATAAATAACCTTTACCCTGCCTTAACCTTGAATATTTTTTTTCCCAGCAGGCTAACTACCAGGGGAATCTTGAATTAATAAATAACCCTTACCCTGCCTTAATCTGAATATTTTTTTCCCAGCAGGCTAACTACCAGGGGAATCCGAATTTAAATAGGGAAGACTAAGGAGAAAAATCTTACACACTTTACTCTTTCTAGCCATGTTTGTTATCACATAATCTCATAAATAATTGGTTTATGAACTATAGACTGAGTCCTAATATCAAACTTTAAGAAGCTATCCAGATATGGAGTTCGAAATAAAATTGTATTGTGCCAAATTTGCTTGGGAAAAAAAGCTTTATTGGACAATTGAAAATCCATCTCTATGCAAGATATTTTGTTATACTTGGATTTGCCTTGTGGATTTATTACCAGACTTTTGTTGGATTTGGCTTGTACATTTATTAATAACTCCCATTCACCAAAAAGATTTGGACAGAATGCTTCCTGTACATGTAGTAAAGACTGTACATATCTACTATTTGTTGCTGTCACCATCTATAAATGTTGACTTATATCCACCATATTGATTCATAGTTCACCATGAAGCCAAGACTGCCTCGACAGAGCTCAAACATACTGCTTTTCTGGAACATACCAAGGCTAGATCTGCATCAAACTTATAAATCCAAATTCATGCTCTTTTCCCATTGTTGGACATCTCTCATATTCAAAACCAAATTTATAGCCATGCCTCAAACTTTTCCTCCTGAGACCTCTACTTCATTGAACCATACTGGCCTTCATTCCCTTGTGTCTTCCCCTGCCCCCTTTCAGGTAGATTCATAGAGAATAAATGCAAAGAACCAAAGAGAGAGAAAATACCAGCTGTGTTCGTAGTGGCACAGTAACTCCCACAGCACAAGCTTTCGTAGTATAAAGCCTGAAATATAGCACTGAAGACAGCTTGGCGTGAAAGGGCCCACCTAACTAACCATGAGCCTCAGGCTGTGAATACTGCCTTCCCCAACTGGGGCTTACTACCTGGAGAAAGGAAGGCCAAGGCATACCAGGCCTGAACAAAGACAAGTCCAAGAGGATTTTTTAAAAATTGTGCCATACATGAATGATGATATTCAAACTCACCCCAAAGATAGACCTGGCCCCTTGACTGTCAGGCTTTGGCCCATCTCACCAATCAAATTAGTCACTCCTCCACCTGAGCTTAGGACACTATGCTTGTGAGGGCAAGAATGTATAAAGGCACCATCAGCCTCTCCCTTCTTAGCCAGAGCAGCAAAAGTCCTTTCTTGGAAACCCTGAAGAGTAAGGACATAAGAATCCCAGTTTTAACTCTTTTGACCATTTCCCCAGTGATCCAAGCCAAGTACTTGGGCATAAATTTAAACTACATCCTTCTGACTTCCTCATCATCCTCTACATTCTATCAATTACCAAACCCTAAAGTTTTATCTCCACATATTTCTCCATATATCCCTTTCTCTCCATCTATCCTACCTCAATCCTATATCCAGGTCTCATCATCCTCTGCCAACACTACAGTAAAAATTTCCTAATCCTTTCTGATTTGTCTTGCTCCATTTCTAATCTAATCTCCACACTGCAGCCAGAGTGATCATTCTGAAACTCAGTTCTGATTATGTCACTCTGACAGCTTTCTGTTAACTACAGGATAAAAGCCAAGCTCTTTAGAATGACTTCCAAAATCCTTCATGACCTACCACTTTTCCAAACTCATCTGTCCCATTTCCCTGGCCCCACACTCATCCCAGTAATATGAAAATGTCTGTAGTTTCTGACAGTCACCAAACAGTTGCAAATCTTCATCCCTTTGTTCATGTGATTCCTTCTGTCTGAAATCCCCTTGAGTCCCTGTCTCATTTGGTTAACTCTGATTCAATCTTAAAGATTCTGCTTAAGGCATTACCTCCAGGAAGCCTTCCCTAACCTTAATGCCTCATTGCTTCCTGTCCTGCTCTCTCAGGCTAGAGGAAAATTACTCCTCTTTTGTACTCACTCTGTGAATTGCTCCATCATTGAATTCACTACCCTATGTTGATATTTATTTTCATGTCTGTCTTGGGCAGGGGCCATATCCCCAGGAACTAGAGGCTATCAGCACTCAAGATAAGTGTATGGACTTAAACTGAGCTCTTTGTTCTCCCAAATCATTCATTCCTTAATTTATCCATGAATTCAATAATAATTTATTGATGAATTTCATGGGTATGGCCCACCCAACTCATCCACTTTATTTTTGCTGAGTAATATTCTGATTTCCTTGATACATTTTGGCCTGTGTGGAAACCAATCATTTTCCTTCTTCTCTACAATTTCAGAGCATATGAAGAACATTTGTTAACCATTTCCAGATTGTGATTTGTTTTTAAATTGCTCATTTGAATCATTTTTATATGCTTCTTGTCCTGGTGACATAACTGACTGATTACACTGCATCTTTCATGGGTATGGACTGACATAAGTGATGTGGAGTGACAGCCTAATCCTCTGGAACTGTGAGACTGCTGTTTTCCTTTGCTGGATTCCATCTGCAGGAAATGCAAATCTCAGAGGCAGCCATCAGAATTAAATACATTTTGATAAATAATAGCCTAGTGACATCACATTACAACAGCTCTTTGAAGTCACTCAGAGGCTGAGCCCATCTCTTCCTGCCTACTACTGGCTTTGGCAGCTAATGGGCACAGATTTTTTTTTAATTCAAGTTAAGAAGGAGTCAAGTTTAAAGAGCTTTGATATAAATCTTTCATTTTCCAAAGGAAATCTCAGGAAACAAATGGAAAAACTTAGCGGGCAGGTGGTGGCCAGCCTATGGAAGTCAAAAACAGAGCAGAGCAGCTAGTCTGGAGGAATTGGGCTTGGGAGCTGGAGAATAGTGGAAGATACGGACTCTCAGGACTTCTGGCATTGAAGATAATGAGCATAGAGAGTGAGAAGAGGGGGAAGGTAGGAAGAACATGACCACAAAAAGATGGCTTCTATTTAGCTATGATTCTCCTACTACAATGGGCCCACTCTTGAAGGAAACAGTAGATTTGTATAAACTACCTCATGAAGAGAACTTTAAATAATAATAAGCTAATTGGTTAATTTTACACTCTAATAACTAGATTAATAAATACCCTATAACCTTTTGGAAATAAATATTAAGTCCATACATGTTCTCACACTTCTACAGGGAATCAAAATATCTAACAACCAGCCCAGAATGAAGTGGCCAACCAGAATGGCATGCAAACCATAAATATCAGTAAGGCCATCCTGGAGCACAAAGCAAAATAGAAGCCCTGAATATACACACAATTGTACAAATAACAGGCATCTCTTCCCTCCCCTGCAAAGTTCCTTTCTGGATTTTACTCTGGTTTCTTTTCCAAGCAACAAGAATGACTAGTGATAAAAAATTTAAAGGAAAATCTGGTTATTCTTGTGTATGTTGGGGTATAAGAGTTTCTTCATTTTCAGCTTTCTATTTGTCTTTCTCTCTGTTCCCAGGCCCTAAATAAGGCCAGCAACTCCCCTACTCCTGAACCCCTGTACTCCAAAGCTCCCTTCTCAAAATAGAAACTAAAGGAGCCCGAGCTGCTCCTTCCCTGGTCATCTGTTTTACCGAATCCCACACTTCTCACTTATCTCTCCAAGCATCCAGCACCCCAGCAAATTCTTCTTTTCTGTCTTCTCCTCCAGATCTTGTTTCAGATCCAGTCTTCCACTCATAAGCTTTCTACATTATTCATTTCCCTGCCATTCTGTCATTTAGAAATTTTTTGGAAGATTGTAGCAATTTTAGGATATTTTGATGCTCCTGTCATGGAGCTGTAGCCCCCCACCCCATTTTCCAATGGGAGCACTTGTTAAATGCTTCATGTCAGTCATTCTTCTGGATAATTTACTTAGGTCATCTCATTTAACCATTGTTATGCAGTTAAACATTATTCCCACTTTGCAGGACACTGGGAATCAGACTGAGGAGCTTGCATTGATCACACAGGTAGTAAGTGGGAAGTCGGGTTTTGAACTCAGGAGCCAGTTTGGTCCAATCTCATGTTCTTTCTTACCCTAAGTTTCAGCTCTAAAATAAAAAACAAAAGTACTAATAAAACTATCCAAAGTTATGGAGTCTGGCCCTGACTGGCATTTTTCGAAACTCAATCAAGTGTTTTATATCTATAAAAAAAAAAGACTGGGTCACCACTCCACATTTTCACATTGCTTATAAATCTCAAGTCAACAGAGCCCTAAGCAACCTTAAGCTTGAGAAAAATATTAACCAAAATAACTTCTGTCTATTACTACTGAAGGGAAATAAGGTATTAAGTTGATAGATTTCTGATGTCTACTGCCATTTATTTGAATTAATGCTCCCTTAGGTATTCAGAGAGTATAAAAAGATCAATGATGACCAGCTGGAGGTTAAATGGCAAATCCAAAGCAGTATTTTAAGAGTTGAAGGGAGTGCTTTCTTTCTTTAGATTTAAGAGAAGGAAAAAGCATTTCCAATTAGACACGGGCCCCAAGTAAAGAAGGGTGATTTTTTCTGCTCAAGGTTGGTGTGTACACGTGTGTGTTGGGAGGCAATTGTCAGTCACATGCTGGGATCTGATTGCATTCAGGTAGGTTTGGAGGGCTCCTCTAGGCCCCTCTACCCTAGGAAGGCATGGGCAGAGACTTACCCACTCTTTAGGGGTGTGCTGATTAACTGTGAACTTCATGTAAGACTGTATTATTTTCAACCTCAGAAATATTTACCAAAAAATCAGGGACCATGACCTCCTGGACAAAAGGAAAACTGTCACAGCACTGAAGGCAGGAGAGGACCGGGCCATTCTCCTGGGACTGGCCATGATGGTCTGCTCCATCATGATGTACTTTCTGCTGGGAATCACACTCCTGCGCTCATACATGCAGAGGTAATGCCTTTGGGTTGTTGGGACACGGTTATTGGTCTTCCCCTTCTCCTTCCTCTCCCATAGCTTATCAGCCCTAAGGTCCTCTTCCTCACCTTCTTTCCCAATAAGTACTTTGAACAGTGCCTGGCACGTAATATTTTTAATAATGTTATTAAATAATAATGATAAGAATAGTTCTGTGTATAGGCTGCCTACTATGTGCAGGGACTTTCCAGACATGACTTAATGCTCATGAATACTTTATAAGGGAAGTTCAATATGAATACACTCATTGTAAAAATGGCCAAACTGAGGCTCAAGATAGTTATAATTTGCCTGATATCACACAACAATAGCGTATGGCAGAGATAAGATTCAAACCCACATCCCACTCATTCCAGAGTCCCTATTCTTGCCTCTTCACACCTTTGCTCTCCACCATCGTTCCTTTTCTAGCCCACGCCCCTCTTCATCACCCCACACTTCGGTAGTTCTCAACTGCACATTTATATTTTCTGAGAAACTTTAAAAAACACTGATGCCCAGCACCCCCACCATCGCCCCCAGAAGGTCAGATTTAATGGTCTGCAGTGGGACCCAGTTACTAGTATCTTTCAAAGTTCCCCCCAGTGATCCTAATGTGCTGTCAAGGCTGAGAAACACTGCTATGCATCAACTTATAACAATAACAGAGTCTGAACCCTTTTTATTTTAATATTTGCCCTAGGTTTACTGAATAGATAGGGAGGCCATTAAATACTGAAACAGCAAGTGTACTTCCCCCTGAGTAAGCCGCGTGATAAATCCCCACAGCCTCTCTAGCTAACTGTTGTCCATAAATTGGATGCTTTGAGGACAGGGCAGCCTGGTATTGCTGTAACTAATGGGGAAAGTCTCACAGTGGCTCAGCGTAAAGAAACGAGGCCCTTTCCAATGAAAAATTGAGATTTCGCTCTGAAAGAGAATCAAGCGATTTTGTGGCATTCATTTCTCTACTTAAATTAATACTTTCGTTTTAGAAGCAAAATGTAGCAGAAATACAGTAATTTGCTAAAATTAAGGCGTCATCTTCCCCGTTTGTGGCTGCTCTGTGCTGGGGCTCTGATGTCTTCAGCTGTGCTCCTTCTCAGGGAAAGCGCTGACGCCTCAGGCCTGAGTGCTCACTGATCCCCAAACCGCCTTCAGATCTTCACACCTGCTTAGAACCATCTGAGACTTTGTTCCCCTTTGTATAAGCAAAACCTGACCATCCATGCCCTAGGAAAATACAACTTGCCACACCGGAGGGGGCAAGGGCTAGTATCCTGGCCTGGCATGAAGTCGGACGTGAAAAGGGAAGTCAACACATGTCCAGCCAAAGGAGGGGGTATTAATCTGCAAAGAAAATGTGCTGTTTTCTGATCATTATGGTAATCAGCTTATACCCAGAAGTAAAACTGATTGCCAGTGGGCGCCTGGGTGGCTCAGTTGGTTAAGCGACTGCCTTCGGCTCAGGTCATGATCCTGGAGTCCCGGGATCGAGTCCCGCATCGGGCTCCCTGCTCGGCGGGGAGTCTGCTTCTCCCTCTGACCCTCCCGACCCTCCCCCATCTCATGCTCTCTCTCTCTCAGTCTCTCTCTCAAATAAATAAAATTAAAAAAAAAAAAAACTGATTGCCAGTGTGTCACTTCTTAATCACAAATATTATCCTTGATCATAAAATTATAAGTATTTTGGAATGAAAAACTAACCAATGGGCAGCTGGAGGGTTTTTTTCCTTTTTTTGATCTTTCTAATAGAGGTTCCTAGGGCACTGACATGAACCCATTATCTCCATAGAAGGGTCTCTTTGCCACTGTGTTCAAAGGGAGGCAACACAGAGCCATGGAATGAGCCCGGGTCTTCGAGAAATAGAGGAGTGGGTAGAATCACCATTTCCATCACTTACTAGCTGTGTGCCCTTACCTGTTTCCTGATTTCTCTGACCTTCACCTTTTAAAAAAATTAACCCACCTTACAAAGTTTTGGAAATGTATATAAAGCACCAAGTAGGGTGAAGACAGATGCCACAAGTGATTCCTTTGGGTACAATAAAAGGGTGGAGTTCTCTTTTCTCCCTTATTAGAAAGACTGTAAAGAAATATATCACAGAGGGTGCCTGGGTGGCTCAGGTGTTAAGCGTCTGCCTTCGGCTCAGGTCATGATCCCGAGGTCCTGGGATTGAGCCCCACACCGGGCTCCCTGCTCCACGGGAAGCCTGCTTCTCCCTCTTCTGCTCCCCTTGCTTGTGTTCCTGTTCTCACTGTCTCTCTTTCTCTGTAGAATAAATAAATAAAATCTTTAAAAAAAAAAAAAAAGAAAAAGAAAAGAAATATATCACAGTCCTTCTGTCTGTCAAGTTATATGTCAAGCCCCTCCACCCCTTTGTCATCTTCCCTTCCCTTTCTCCCTTACACCTTCACTGCCTACCAACTAGGCAGACATAACAAGTGAGGCCTGGTGTGTGGCAGGAAGCTGCTTACAAGGTAGAGCTCAGGGTGAATACAGGTTGCGATATAAAAGATGCCTTATGCTTACCAGTGAATGTGAGAAGGAAGTAAGAACCTAACTTAAACCAAGCACTGGATATTATAGTACGTCTGACAGAAGTCACTGGAAACGTTTTCAAGTGGCAGGCAAAGTTTATTCATGTTTATATTGCAGTTGGCCTAAAGCTACTCTATTCAAAGGCGTAAACTTTAACAAATAGATTGTATGATAGATCTGGAAAAGATTCTTCAGGTTAAGGAGTCGACAGACGATCCCCTCTGATGACATCTTCCTCGTTCTTAGTATCCAGGCCTGTGTTTGTTCCCTCTCCCCTTTCTCTGTAGCGTGTGGACTGAGGAGTCTCAATGCACCTTGGTGAATGCGTCCATCACAGAAACATTTAATTGCTCCTTCAGCTGTGGTCCGGACTGCTGGAAACTCTCTCAGTACCCCTGCCTCCAGGTATACGTTAACCTGACTTCTTCTGGTGAAAAGCTCCTTCTCTACCACACCGAAGAGACCATGAAAATCAATCAGAAGGTAAGAGCGTGGCGCACACACACCACATTTCGGTCACCTCCCACAGAGCTCCCACGCTAAGCCCATCTCCCTCTGAAGTTCCTCTGTGCCAGCATTCAAAGGAAAATACCACTGAGAAGCAGGCCCTGCCTCATCCCTTCACAGAACTATTTGACTCTTGCCTGGGAGACATTTATTTTCTGTGCATGTTGCAGACAAATCATTCCTCCATTTTGTGGTAGTGCAGATTTACCCTTTACTTTCATCTAGAAGAGTAAACATCCTATCATTTTATACACAAATAGACTGAGTCTTTCAAAGCAAATGTGCAGCTTAGTCCAAGTCATACAAGCCAGAAAAAAAAAAAAAAAAAAAAACAGGTATTCATCATATATCTGAGAGCACTGGAGTAAAACAGTATTTTCCTTTCCCACAGTCATTGTCACTTTGTGCTGTGGCCATAGGGATGTAACTTAATCTCTCTGAGCTTCAACTTCCTTTTCTCTAACATCTTTGCAAGGTCATTTTGAGGATCAGAGCTGTGTATGTAAGGTATGGAGCAGACCACAGTGCCTGCACAGGGGGACCCTTCAATCCATGGTCATAGTGTATGTGTTTGTGTTTCTTTCTTTTTATATATTATGTTCATAGAGGCTGAATTTTCCAGCACTGATATATTCAAATCTATGGGGTAGATGCTCAACAAATGTGTATTGTATGAAAGCTCTACATAACACTTGCATTTATAAGGTCTAGGATCACCAGTAAAGTGTCAACAGAACCCACCTGCCATTATCAATTTTAAGTTAAATATATTGAGCTTTGGATTTATGATAGCAATTTAGATATGCCAAGAGAACCTGATGCTACTCTCCAGTAGGACAGTTGGCCCTCATTACTAGGATACAACCCTCATGAACCCCACTCTTTCTTGTAAAAACTTATTTTCATCACAATTATCAGCACCTAAATGATACATATGTATGGGAAAAAATGCAGTGGTTTGTAAATTAGATGCTAGAACATAGGATTTGCTTTGTGATATATTGACACAAAGTAAGAAAATCCACCTTGCCTTTTGGTCACAGTAACTAAAAAATCCTTGCCGGTATCTCTGAGGACTGAACATAATGAATATTTCAGAGTCTGTCTTTTGAAAATGTCTGCTCTGATTTCCTTTGGTTTGTGGCAGCCACAAATAATACCAATCCTAACCCTGTTCTGCAAATATATAAAGCTTAGCTCTCCCACAAGTGTTTGTTTTTCAAGATCTTCCCTCAAGTCAGATCTTTAAATCAAAGCTGACCTGTAATGGTGAATGCCTATAAAACTCTCAGATCTCTGTGGAACTGGAAATTGGCCAAAGGTGAAGAGGCATCCAAAAGTAGGACAAATTTCCATTTCCTTGTTTTGACATTTTATCACTACGGCCCTGTGAATGCATTATTTAGGCTATAAACAGGGAGTGAACCTACCATAGGAAGGCTCAGTTAAAAATTTAGGACCTGTATCTGTCTGCTGTCAGCATAATACTAGTTCATCGTTTGGTTTATTTGCCACATTACCTTGCTTTTAACCATGAATTATAACACACATACTGAAACATGCAAGAAATGAAAGGGTGTGCAGCTCAAGCATTTATTATAGAGACCACCACGAGAGTAAAGAAGTAAAACATTTCCTGCACCACAAAAATATCCCTCATGCCCCCTCCCAGTAACTACAGGCTCTGTCCCATGCCAAAGATAACAACTGTCCTGACAATATGGCAATTACTTTTTTTTGTATTTTTCTTCGTAGTGTCGTCCCCTAAGCATATATCCTTAAACATCATCTTTTAGTTTTGTCTGGTTTTTAAATATTATATAAATGGAATTACACAGAATATTTCCCTTTGTGTCTGGCTTCTTTCACATAACACTTAACGTTTGCTAGAGCCCTTCCACTTGGTGTTAGCAATTCATTTTCATTACTGTATCATGTCCCATTGTATGAATGTGTCAATTTATTTATTCATTCTACTGTTGATGGACATTTTCAGTCATGTACATTTTGGGGCTACTGCAAATAATTGTGCCATGAATATTCTTGTATATGTCTCTTGATGTATAAGCATTCACATTTCTGTCTGGTATAAACCTGGGAATGAAATATCTAGATCACAGGGTACACCTATCTGAGAAAGTTTAGTAGAAATACCAAACGGTTTTCCAAATTCCCACCAACCCTAAAGATAAGAGAGTTTTTATTGTTTCAAATCCTTACCAACACTTGGTATCTCCTGTAATTTTAATTTTAGCTAATGTAGTGATATCTCCTTGGGATTCTGATGACTAATGTTGCCAACTGCCTTTTCATTTATTTATTGGCCATTTGGATATCTCTTTTGTGCAATCTCTGTTCCAGTCCCTTGTCCATTTTTCTGTCAGATTGTTTCTTCTTCATATTCATTGTAGGAATTTTTATATCTAGTTATGAGCCTCTGTTGGTTTTATGTGTTGAAAATATCTTCTCTCATTCTGTGGCCTTTTCACTCCCTTAATGATGTCTTTGAATGAAAGAACTTTCTAATTTTAATATAGTCAAATTTTGTCAATCTGTTTTTGCTGTTGTGGAGGTGGTGGTGGTTGTTTTGATGTTTGGGTTTGGGGAGGGAGCTATTTTGTTGTTGATTTTGGGGGGTTTTTTTGTTTGGTTGGTTGGTTTTTGGTTTTTGGGTTTTTTGTTCGGTTGATTGGTTGGTTTTTCTGGCATTTCGTTGTCCTGTTTAAAAAGTCTTTACCTGTCCTGAGTTCACAAAGTCGCTCTCCTAAATTATCTTCTAGAAACGTTATTAGTTCTCCTTCCACATTTAGAGTATCATCTCCTTTCACATTTAGAGTACATTTAGAGTGGAACTGATTTTTATGCAGGAGTCTAGTTTCTGGGTTTCTTTTTTTCTCTTGTGGACAGCCATTTGCCCACGTCCGCTTATGAAAAGACCATCCTTTCCTCACTAGATTATTTTTATAATCCCATTCCCCCTTTTTTTTTTCTTGGAAGTTATCTGTTGTATTACCATTCTTTTAGGGTTTAGCCTAGAGATTACAACTTGCAATCTTGACTACTTAAGGACATTAAAACATCTTCACTCCTACTTATTATCTTCTCAACTTACATATTATTGCCATTTTATCCAATAGATACTCTAAGTTCATGCAGACATTATTACTTGAAGGATACATCTACTGAACATAAAACTCTAACTTGGCTGGTACTTTGTTTCTGCACCTCAGATACATTCCATTATCTTCTGGCAAGCTTTATTACTACTTAGAAATCGGCTCTCAGCTAATTGCTGCTTCTTCGAAGGTAATCTTGGTTTATTTTAAAGGTCATTTGATTTGGTTTTCCATGGTTTAACTGTTATGTGGCAGAGTATACATTTATTTTTATTTGCCTACTTGGTGTTCCCAGGGCTTCCTTTGGTGTTCTTTGATGTTCTTCATCAATTTTGGAAAGTTCTCAGTCAGTATTTGGACAAATATGATCTCTGCTCCGATTCACTTCTGTTTCTCCTTTTTGCACTCCAGCTGGCCCTATGCCGAGCTTTCTCTTTGTATCTCCTGTGTACTTACTCTCCCTCTTTTTAATTTCTCTGTGCTTCATTCTGCATTCTAACCTAGCTTCTAATTTGTAATTCATTCCTCAGCTCTGACAAACCTACTTTTAACCCCCGCCATTGCATTCTTAATTTCTCGTACTGTCTTTTTCATTTTGAGAATATCCATCGGAGTCTGTTTTGCCATTTCTGGTTTTCTGAAATACCCTCATTTTTGTCTCTTAAGTCCTTCAACATAAAAAATAAAATTATAGTTATTTTAAAGTTTATCTTGAGGACTTCAATATCCAAGGCTGCTATGTACCAATGCTGTTTGATTTTCTTCTCCTGTTCATTTTCATGTTTGTCTTGTAATGTCTGGTTATTTTTTATTAGGTATCATATTTGCAAAATCATTTATAAAAATAATTTTAAGCCTAGGATGAGGTCATCATGTCATCTTTTCCAAAAAGTACTCCCATTTGCTTCTGCCAGGTTCCTGAGTGTATGAGCCATATGTGATCACCTCATTCTGACTTCATAAACTTGAGATATACAAGTCTGAACTCAAGTCCCTTTGAGGATCTGTCTACTTCAGGTTGCCATTATTCCTAGGATGCAGTCCTTAGGGTCCCAACACAAAGTGAATGGGGGGTCATCAGGCTCCCTATCTGATAGGCCCTCAATGATGGTTCCTGCCCCCAGCTCTGCAAGGCTGTCCAAAATGCCATCCAGTTTTCTAGACTCTCAGCTCCCTTCTAGAATCAGCATACACTCCCAAGGAAAAGGTGGCACCAGAGGTGGCTCACCTTCCTGGCCCCACAGTTCTTCACACCTGGATAGCCGTCCTCTGTCTTTAATCAGAAATACATGTAGTAAGTCAATCAGAGAAAGACAATTATCATATGGATCCACTAGTATGTGGAATATAAGAAACAAGGCAGAGGACCGTAGGGAAAAGGAGGGAAAACTGAATGGGAAGTCATCAGAGAGGCAGACAAACCATGAGAGACTCTTAACTATAGGAAACAAACTGAGGGTTGTTAGAGGGGAGGTAACTGGGTGATGGGCATTAAGGAGAGCACATGATGCAATGAGTACAGGGTGTTATATACAACTGACAGACTGTTGAATGCTACATCTAAAACAAGGGATGTACTATAGGTTGGCTAATTGAATTTAAATTTTAAAAAATAAAAAATAAAAGAAAGAAATATATGTATTAAAAGTACAGTTACTTCCCCATCTGAAGGACATTAAAGCACAGTCTTCATGCAATATGAGGAATATTCAGGATATTCCTGAGGAAAACATAAAAATAATCTCTATGTGGATCCCTCCTTCCTGTTACCCTCCTCCCAGCTCACTAAAAATAACAGTCTTCCCCAGAGTTACCAAGAAATGGGCAGAGTTTTACTGAGATACATAAGGCATTACCGAC